TCACGCAGATGGTCAGCTACGTCTTCACCGTCGTAGACGTCGTGCCGACAGGACTTATAAAGCAAGTACAACGCGAACTACGGGATTATGACCGAATCATTTCTGCGTAATTCGCGCTGTACTTGTGCAAGCAATTGGCTAAACCTAGCCACTTGTACAATTCCTTTTGGTTCCTGGGAGCCGGTCAGTCCACAATGGCCTGGAGTTTGGCAGGATCGGTCTGCAATTCATGATTCTAAATGAATCAGTCGAAAAACGGGAGCTCCTAAGCGTCAAAGACGCACTTGTCCAAGTTCGTACACAGCTTGTAAGTACGCATGTGGGTCTCCACGTCAAAAGCGGAAAGTTTTCCGTTCTTGTCACGACAATGGACGAAGATATCGTCAAAGTGCGTCTGAGCTTACGCTTAATAGGGCTTGAACAGCCGTGTCACATGCCGGTTGAACATTGCTGGACAGCCCCTAGGGCATCACCTCACCCTGTTGCTCTGTAGAGCACTCTTCCTAGAATCGGCGTTGCGCCAGAATGGTGGCCGCATCCAGCTTATTGGCCCTATTGCTGCCGATGCTATCAAAACACTGCAATATGCTTGGATTTGCAATTTTTATGGGAATCATTTTGCAGGGATTCTATTTTGGACGAATTGTGTTACCTGCGGAGAGCCCAAGCACAGGTTTTAGTTGACTACATTAATGACCATAATTGTTGGTGAGACCATTGATATGTTTTACTATGCTGCGCGAAGGCCAATCATTTACGTACTGTATTACTTTACTATGGGAACCTACCTATACAAATTTTCAGGTACATTTCTAGCAACAACGTAGGGTTAAAAGGCACAATGCGTCACTTGCCATTCCTCTTTCTGACCCAGAATATAATCAATTCTATCCTTGAAAAGCTGACTGAGTGATCCTCGTTCTGCCACATTTGCAAGGCTCTACGATTCTTGCGTGAATACTTGCTCAAAATTAAGAAACGCAATGCATTTCCAGCTCAACGTGAACAACTGCTCAATCTGGCAATGAAATTTGAGGACGGCTACGAAATTATCAGGGTGGGTAGGAGCGTTCGATGGCTACATTTGCTTCTTTTTTCATGCCAACTAGTCGTAAACGTTTAAGAAAGGGCTTTATTCTCTCTTTATGAGCGCAATTGTGGATCGTGATAGAATATTTTTAGACATTGACGTGAATGGCCCGATCTGCTGGTGACAATCGCGTGTTTTTCCGATAGCACTGTTAGGCGATGACACGAGCAGCTATTTGCTGCAGCTAGTGGAGATGAAAGTGCATGACTGTTATCATCCGGGTAAGCAGAAAATCAGAAGATTTATTTCCTGTTAGCCGACTCTGCGTACGCTAGCAGACGGCATGCCATCACTACCTACAAACTTGCAGAGACAACGAGTGACGTTTTGCATCAGCAAGCTAAACCACAAGCTGGCCGGAATGAGCTATCCTGTTGATTGCGCGCTTGGTGCATTAAAGTCGAGGTGAAGGATTTTGTCAAAACCAATTGAAATGGTGAGGTCCAGTTTGGAAGACGCCCCGACGCTAGTAAGTGCAACTTGCGTTTTGAACAATTTTGTGATTGACGAACATGATGGTATCTGGGATCCGCGTGCTGCAGTGCAACGAAGGAATTTTCACTTGGCAAACGCTCTGACGGTGGCTAATGAAATGACTTGCCCACGGGACGAGCTGCAACAGGACAAGACTAGCAAGTCAATTCTAACGTAGAAGAGATTCTCGATTCAGCTAGATCATCGTAGCTAAGCTATTAGAGCTGAGAACAAAAGAGCTCTCGAAGCCATGCACGCGTCTTTTCGTTTTCTTCCTTTTTGGTGACGAAAGAGCTCTTCTCTAACTGGCTGAGCTATCAATCCCATTGACTTGACTGCTTTATCCATCACAGCGTTCATTCCGCCTGCAATGTCGTCGGCGCGGGACCGCTTCTTTCCCGTCAAAGCTGCCTCAGCAACAAGAACCTGCTCACCTAAATCCCTAGCACGTAGCTTAATGCCACAACGCACCGGATTAATACTTGGGTCGTCTTCAAAGATTGCACCAAGAGCCGCACAGCATTCGGTACTCAACTTAGCCCGACCCCACTTTTCAGTACTTCAGACCGCTCTGAATTTGGCATATCAAACCAACCCGGTGTACCGGTACTATCAAAAAATGTGTCGTTATTGTGGTCAGTTATTAACGTGTAGAAAGCCTTTAGCGACGACAACTTGGATTCAATAGCTCGCATCGAGCGCGGTCAAACGTTGGTCTGAGACGGCAAGTGCACCTTTTGAAAATGACGGCACGATGGCCACACCAGCAAGACACTCACTCGAGGTTTTCGGCTCAGCGTCAATTATTTTTTACTTCAGCTTAAATATACGCTAAATATAGGCGTCATACACCACCGAAAACACATACCTAGCCGTATACCCAAGATGTAGTTGTACTAGCGACGCCCCCTTCTAAGCTCGAGGCAAAACCAGCACCTCGTCATTTCCCACATTTTCCCTTTCGTTGCACATTTGGCGTCCTTTTTGCGCCTGTGCGTTTCCTCTATCTTCTTCATGGACCCTAAGGCCACTATGTCCACATTGACCACCTCGTGCAACTGGATCGTCATATGATTCGTGACCAACGCTCGCACAGACGTCGTTAAGGGTACTACACACACCCCGCGCACGACCAAGTTCAAGCCGTTTAGTAGTGCTTTCAAGCGCCCTCCCGTTTAGGCTCATCCCCCAAAGTAAATGGTTTTTTACCGTTTGCTGGTGCAGCTACGGTATCTGCGCCACCATTGGCATGACGTTCTACAGCATGCTGTGAGCTTTGCATGACATCCACTTGGTTATAATTAGCGACCCCAATATTAGCATCATATCCGATGTGAGTCTCTCAGGAAGCACTGTAATTGAAGCTGCTACCGTCAATCCGAATCATGCTCTCACTCTTGCCACCATGGCCACCCTCATCACTGTCATTTCGAATCGACCACAAAAGAAATCTCAAACTAAAGTCCCTTACCAACCGTTTAGAGAAAAATTGTGGTATGTTGACAAAAACTAAGTCGCAACCAAAAATTTGTAATTTGACAGTGTGAGCACCTGTCCTGTACACGTGATAAAACGGTACCGGAACACCTTATACCGGAGTCGGCTACTGTGAACTGGCCCATCGTCCTGTTCAAGGCTATCTCGATTGCCGACAAACATTTCATGACCCTAAGCTGCAAAAATGACAAGACAAAAATCGCTGGTACCGCAACTTCGCTTAAGCTAGCGTAAATAGTGCTGCAGAATGACAAACTTTTCATGGACCCTAACATGCGACTCCATGCTAAGTTTAGTTGCTTGATGACAAATATCGCTGGTTGCACAACTTTGCTTGGGTAAACGTAACGTTGCAGGATGAGAACCTTTTCAGGGCCCCTAGCACAGTTTGTCGAGCTGCGAATATAGGAGGAAAGATTATTTTGAGCGTATAGAACTAAGCAAACGGTACTTTGAGACTTTAATTTACATTCTTAAAGTACCGTTTTGCTGGCTCATTTGCTGAATTTGGACTAGTGGTGCTCAGTATTGCATTCTCACCAAAGAGCAGCCAAGCTAGTACATCTTAGCCTACCAAAAGTGGTTGTATTTGATCTAAAATTAATCAGCATAATAGAAATGTACAAAAGCGGCGAAACTAGTTATCACAGTGCTTACTTATTCTTTATTTGGTTTAAGAGCGAAACGACACATTCTGCTAGTATAGAACGCCTCTGAGATTAGGTTTAAAAATACTCGAGTACTTAATTTTTACCTGAACGGGAAAATATTAGGATATATCAACTAGTATCTAGATAATTTCTATCATGACTATGTTAACCCTAATACAGTAAAAGTTAAACAAGTTTCTGATTTTTAAAGCTGATATTGATATTTATAAAATAAAAAATACCCTTATTAATGACGTGATATAGCTAGCACTCTGCTGCACCACAGCTATTGATTGGTCTATGGATGTTTGCGAATAAAACGAAAAAAAGTTTAACTTTTTTTAATTGATCTAAAGCTCGGTCATTTTTAGCAAGATTTCCCGCTCCTCAGGGAGTTTTAAACAGAATTGTGGAAAGGCATATACCCCTCTTGAGTTTAGCATCTTGTCAACGACGTAAGAATCGTGTTGCAGCAGCTCAATCGGAGCGACACCGGCGTCCCAATGACCCATTACAGCTCGCTTTTAGCGCATTTCAATTGATTTAAAAACGTTCCAGGCTGAAATTACCTAAATATTAATTGAAACGCTTTTTATGGTAATTTGTAGTGTTAAATGAAACGTGCCAATCTATTGCCACAGCCGATTTGGTAGCAATATAGAGGTGTGGAAAGTGCTTTTAATACTAAAACTTGTATCGCATTGACGAAGACTACTACTACTGTATACTACTACTAGCTTATATTTCGATAATTCCAATTTGATTATCATTACTACTGCTATCCAAGATTCCGACTGTTCGTGATACCCGTGCCGTTATGCACATCTAAGAGTGTCAATCCCAAGGCTACAAAACTCGGTATCGGGCGATAAGGACAGCCGATCCTCACTCAGCCTTTTTACTATTATTTGAATCCTCCCAGCGGGTGTCCTATTATAGTTGTGTTTGTGAGTCGGTGGGTTTGCACCGGTCCGTAATGTCACGACATCCAAGCTTACGATATGATTTGAGGCGAGACGGCTATATTTTGTTGTGCCTTGCGTATTAATAACTACTGTACTTGTACTAGATCAAGTGTCCAATCCGATTAGAGACGCAGCACGTTTTTTTTTCTCTTCAAACTTCTTGCTCGCCAAGAATTACTGTGGATGATGCACTGGGGTACTAGAGATGGTGAGTTTGTAAACTCCCTCTATTAAAATCTTTGCGAACGAGTAGTTGGTCGCTGTCTAATATAAGATCATTGTGGCATTTTCCTCATCAGAGCCCGAGCTCATATTCCTTTGACGATGCGATGGCTCACTTGGGCAATACTGTCTACCCTTATCTTGATTTCAGCAACCACTGAAGCGGCCACATCCATGCCCAATCTCGAAGTTGCGACGAAGGATTCAAGGCTCGCTACTACATTTTCTGCCCGAGCACTGTCAAGCGAGCTCAACAGCCATACAAAAAATATTCTTCGGAGCAACACCATCATGGAAACCACGGAGGAACGAGGGATTTCGGAATTTCTTTTGAATATAGCTGTCAATCGCATGTTCAAGTGGCTGTACAATTGGGGAGAGACACCGTTGAGCGTCAGATCAAAGATGATGTAGCGTGATAACTTCCTCGTTGGCGACTACAAAGTTTGGTGGGAGACGACTCGTGCGACAGGTAGAATGCCCAAATGGAAGTACACCCCACACAGTTGAGACTACAGGTACACTGTTGACTCTGGACTAAAGTGTCACCATCGTTAACCTCCATTAAAACAATTTCCCTGAGAAAATCCGCAGTAACAATAGTGGTTGTCAATTGTGCAGCAGCAAGAAGAATTTTTTTTCATGCACTTGAGCAGCAACATCAACAGCCAACCAGAGTCGACCCAATTGACCACCCCAAATTGAAGTTGCAGCAAGTTTTAAATTTTTGCCGTGTTTCCTTTCTTAACATCGACAAGTTAGAGAGAAATGCCTCGCTTGTCGGCCCGTGGGAAGAAGATACGTGAGCTGTACCGAATCCTAGAGAGGCGGGGAGTTGCAGCAGTTAGCCGAGAGCTCCTGAGTGACCCTGACCCTTCAGCAGACGAGCTAGATGCGCATTGGCAGTCGGCGTACGATCTCTTGCTGTCATCGCGTTACGTTGATCGGCCCAACAAGTATCGTCGGCGTAGTGATCGATGGCGTAAGTTGCTCTATGACCACGATTACATGAACGCCACGGAGTTTCACGACCATTTTCGACTTGACCGAGACGTTTTCTTTCGCCTAGTGGCACTGGTGAAGCATCATTCTGCGTTCTGTTCGAAGGGGAGCAAGCCTTTTCGTGGTGGACCGGAGCTTCACATGCTAACGCTACTTAAGTTTTATTGGGACATACGGAAATGACAACACAGCCGTCAAATTGGGCCTCTTCCTTGGAATCGCGAGTGGGTCTGTCCACATCTACCTTTTCCGGGCTACGAATGTCGTCTTAAAGCTTGAACCCGTCACTATGGCATGGCCAAACGAAGAGGAGCGGGTTATGATATCGCTACGGATGCAGCAGAAATACGGTTTTGTAAACTGCGTTGGAATAACGGATGGGACGCTATTCCCGCTTGCAGCAAAGCCGCAACATCAAGGAGAAGGTTATTCTAGCAGAAAAGCCTCGTATTCAGTCCACGGCTTGGTGACATGCGATGATGTTGGAAGCGTTCGAAGTCTCGTTGTTGGATGGCCCGGGTCCACCCACGATAACCGTGCTTGGATGAACAGCCCCTTGATCCTTAAGCGTGCGGACCACTTCAAACACAATGAATATGTGCTGGGGGATTCTGCATTCCAAGCATCATCCGTAATGATCCCTGCATTCAAAAATCCACCTAAGGCACAGATGAATCCTCGTCATACGTACTTCAACAAGCAGCTTGCGAAGGCCCGAATAAAAAGCGAGCACTGCATTCGACTGTTAAAGATGCGATTTCCATACTTGCGTGAAATTCGAGTAAAACTGGGCAAAAAGCGCAAACACATACGACGGTTAATTCGCCACGTGACTTGTGCAAGCATTCTTCACAACTTACTTATTGCTGAGCCCATTCCACACCAGTGGCAAAATGAAATTGAAAGGCAGATAACGAGTAGACTCGACGACGACGACGAGTTGAACGAGCCCATCCCGGAAGGTGAGAATGGTGACAAACGCAGAAACCAACTTCTAGCGTACATGCTCGAGGTCCGAGACGAGAGGCAGCAGGAAATCAATTTCGTCTTTTGAGACGCCTTCGTCCAGTAGCTTCTTGCGTTCTCGGAGGAGCGTGACGCGCCGTTGCTGACGCCAATGCTCGGCTTCTTCCATGAGTTTGCTTGCTTGTGCATTTGCTTCACCAACCCGGTAGTTTTTCACTTTCCAGTTGTTTTTCTCTAGCCGAAAACTCTTTTTCTCGAAGATGAAGTTCTTGTTCGCGTACACCGAGTTCTGCATGCTGAAAGTCTCTCTGAGGAGCCAGCTGCGCTTCCTTCAGACGTAATAAAGCGGGTTGTGATGGTAAACCATCTTTTTGATACTTCTTTGTTTGAGGCACAGCTATTGATATTGGAACAGACTGGGGGCGATTTGGTTTCAGGCGGATTGCCTTGTCAGCATGTTCATTTGAAGCTCGATCACTTTAGCTGCTGGAACTGTTCCCGTCACTCTCAGTGTCATCTTTCCAATACCCCGGGTCCGTATTCAATAGCTGAGCTCGTGTACCAACGCGACTATTCATCGTGTCGTGAAGGTCGTAGTACTCTGGGCATATCTGCAGAATTTTGTCACGTAATGAGGTCTCATCCGTTATCCCTTGGCCAGAGCCATGCAAGAAATCTACCACGGACCGATAGCTGGATTCAAGACTAGCAATCTTCTTCGTTATATCTTTCGCAGTTCGAACAGTCTTGATTCCCTTTTAAGAAATTAAGCGCGAATTTTTCTGCGCCAGAGCAGTTTTATTCTCTCCGGATTGAGCGTCACCACCTCGATAGCGCTCATAATTGTCTCCGTCCGTCATCCAGTCATTCAGTACAGTTAGAGAACTAACATCTTCTGCTGGGCCATCGTTATGCCACATCACGCGCTTCTTGCCTGTCGAAACGGATGGTGTCATGCTCACAGCGAGCTTCACGAGAGCATTGTAACATCGTTTACCACATGCCGCTTGGTTAAACGATGTATCACCTCCAAACAAAACCAACATAGCAGCTAGACAAGCCGAATGCACGACTCGTTCGCATCCCAATCTGCTACAAATGCGAAATGAAGCTTCTCCTTCCGGTTTGGCCACTTTTTTGCAGTCTTTCCATCGACAAGCACCTGGTAATGCAGTCATAGGGACGGTTGTGCGCTCTTCACACGTTGATGACTCTGGTGTAGTTGCTGGCTCCGTTGAAATTGGTGAAATAGTGGTTGTTTCTGCTGTAGACGAGCTGCAGAATTCGGCGCCAGTGCTCCTCAATACCGGTTGTGCATCACCATCGTCGTTATCGCTATCACTGCTGAGGATTTTACGAATTCTGTCCAGTTGGGCCTTCTTACCCGTCGATAGTCGCCTACACATCAGCTCCTGAATGCCAATCTGCGGCGTCTGATCCGCGCGTGAAAACTCGAATGGTAACAGCGGGTGTGCAGCAACGGTTTGATCGTAATGGATCGTTGCAGGCGCGTCGTGATACTCATTGCTGTTAGTTCCGTTCAAAGTGGAGGCCAAAAGCGTAGCCTTAGCTGTAGTGTCTCCGTCAATGTAATCGCAAATGGAGGTTGTAGACGGTGTGCTGGTATTCTTTCGCTTCGTACGAGCACCTTCCTGAGCGGCTTGCTTCTTGCTACAAGTGCGTTTCCTTCTAGAAGGTCGTGCACGCGACGTCCCACTCATCTGTGTCCTGGGTCTTCAACACGTCGAAAGCGCGCGAAAAAAATGACTTGCTGCTGCAAGCCTAAAAGCACAAGTTTTGTTGCAGATTGTCCAAAACGATTCTGACCAATCAGTGGTCTCGAAAAAAAATCTGACTTGCTGCAAGAAAAAAAAACTTCTTGCTGCTGCACAATTGACAACTACTAATCACGACTAGCAATGATTATTAACAGGCGTAGTTGTGGATACTCGTTTCTGTGTGGCGCATCGATAGACTGCTCGTATCAAAACATAAGACTATAAATCGCGATCAATGATTTGGTTAGATCATGGTAAGCATGAATAACGGCCTCTACCAAATGTTATACCCGTTCCGAACGACAACGACGGTGAAATCCGCCATATGTTTGAAACACGCCCGAATCCGAACACGGTTTTTCCACTGATGAAACCAGTTTCAGCCAATCCGTATGCCGTATTTAGGCGTTTCTGTACTTTGAATCCTCTATCGGTTTTGTACATTTTGAAATCGTTGTTGTACTTTGTGTTCTGACTTTGAGTTGAAACTGCCACTCTTACTCAATCAAATAATTGGGCGGTATTCATATTTTAATAGTGTTCAGACATGCGTATTTAAATTAATTTTATGAACATCCAAATTAAACCTCCTGACACGGGTCTCAACCAATCACAGCGAACCTTCACTGGTGGTTTGCAACCTTCCACTATTTCAAGGAAAGTTGGAGTAGAAAAAAAAACGGACGCGAAGATTTGATTTGACTGGCCGGTCATGTAATTGAAGCTGCTACCGTCATTCCTAATCATGCTCTCACCCTGCCACCATGGCCACCCAACCTCATCACCGTCATTTCGCATCGACAACAGAATAAATCTCCAACTAAAGTCCCTTACTAACCGCTTAGAGAAAAAGCGTTTGCTGACAAAAACTAAGTCGCAACCTAACATTTGTAATTCGACAGTGTGAGCACCTGTCCTGTATACGTGATAAAACGGTACCGTTCCATCTTATACCGGAGTCGGCTACCGTGAACTGGCCCATCGTCCTTTTCAAGGCTATCTCGATTGCTGACAGACCTTTCATGACCCTAAGTTGCAAAAGTGACAATGCCAAACATCGCTGGTACCGCAACTTCGCTTGTGCTAGCGTAAATAGTGCTGCAGAACGACAAACGTTTCGTGAACCCTAACATGCGAAGCCATGCTAAATTAAGTTGCTTGATGACAAATATCGCTGGTTGCGCAACTTTGCTTGGGTAAACGTAACGTTGCACGATGACAACTTTTTCAGGGCCCCTAGCACCTTTGTCGAGCTGCGAATATATAATTTTGAGCGTATTGAATTTGGCAAACGGTACTTTAAGACTTTGATTTTAAAGTCTTAAAGTACCGTTTTGCTGGCTCATTTGTTGAATTTGGACTAGTGGTGGTCAGTATTTCATTTTCACCAAAGAGCAGCTAACTGGTCCCAAGCTAGCACATATTAGCCTACCAAAAGTGGTTGAATTTGATCTAAACCTACACAGCATACTAGAAATGTCCACAAGGCTCGAAACTAGTTATCACAGTGCTTACTTATTCTTTATTTGGTTTAACAGCGAAACGACACGTTTTTCTCGTATAGAACGCCTCTGAGATTAGGTTTAAAAATACTCGAGTACTTAATTTTTACCTGAACGGGAAAATATTAGGATATATCAACTAGTATCTAGATAATTTCTATCATGACTATGTTAACCCTAATACAGTAAAAGTTAAACAAGTTTCTGATTTTTAAAGCTGATATTGATATTTATAAAATAAAAAATACCCTTATTAATGACGTGATATAGCTAGCACTCTGCTGCACCACAGCTATTGATTGGTCTATGGATGTTTGCGAATAAAACGAAAAAAAGTTTAACTTTTTTTAATTGATCTAAAGCTCGGTCATTTTTAGCAAGATTTCCCGCTCCTCAGGGAGGTTTAAACAGAATTGTGGAAAGGCATATACCCCTCTTGAGTTTAGCATCTTGTCAACGACGTAAGAATCGTGTTGCAGCAGCTCAATCGGAGCGACACCGGCGTCCCAATGACCCATTACAGCTCGCTTTTAGCGCATTTCAATTGGTTTAAAAACGTTCCAGGCTGAAATTACCTAAATATTAATTGAAACGCTTTTTATGGTAATTTGTAGTGTTAAATGAAACGTGCCAATCTATTGCCACAGCCGATTTGGTAGCAATATAGAGGTGTGGAAAGTGCTTTTAATACTAAAACTTGTATCGCATTGACGAAGACTACTACTACTGTATACTACTACTAGCTTATATTTCGATAATTCCAATTTGATTATCATTACTACTGCTATCCAAGATTCCGACTGTTCGTGATACCCGTGCCGTTATGCACATCTAAGAGTGTCAATCCCAAGGCTACAAAACTCGGTATCGGGCGATAAGGACAGCCGATCCTCACTCAGCCTTTTTACTATTATTTGAATCCTCCCAGCGGATGTCCTAGTTGTGTTTGTGTGTCTTGTAGTGGGTCTCAAACTCGAACACACACTAGGGAAGCTGGCGCTTCCTGTTAACCTTGATCTATTCTTTGTCTTGAGGTAAAACTCAAACTGCCCAAACTTACTACTACGACTTGTCGGTAAGTGACATCACGTCCTCGACTATACCGTACTATCCTCAGCTATACCTTACGTCCTAATGCCAGCGTGGCCGCACGTTCTGTGCGGCCCAGTGCAGTGGGCAAGGCTTGGTCTTCAAAGCACCTGCCACTACACCGCCCCTTCAAGCCTTGACCACTCGCATGATGCTTCAAACACGCAAAGCCAAATCATGTTTCGTGAGTGTTGCCAGAATGTTGCTTGAATGTACAAATGTCCTTGATCATCATTCTTGTTGCACTTCAACTTACACCCTTTGCAAATCTTGCAGACCTTGCAATATGCTTCAGAAGCATGTTGCTAATAGCTTTCTCAGCGTGTAACTGGACCATCACTCGGATGTCCTTCCAGAGCGACTGTAGCGGCTCCCACGAGTCTTCTATGGCCTCAAGCCGCTTCCAGGACACTACGAGCTCATAGTCCTTCTTGGCTGCGCACCAACGGTGCTCCTTTAGCTCCGCCACAGCCAGGATAACCCCTTGGGATCTCTTACTTCTGCTGTCACATTGTAGTCCTTGTCGGCATAGTATTTGAGCCTAGACGCGTGCACGTCTGTCTCTGCACCAGTTACTAGGTGTCTTACCACAAATGAGTGCACGTCGGCACGCACCACTTGATATGGACCAATCCAGGTGACCAAAAGCTTGTCTTGGTACTTCTGGTCCACTCTGGACCGTAGCACGAAATCACCTACGCTAAAATTGGCCTTTTTCGCTCCATGTTGCATGTCTTTGTTCCTCTTAGTCTGCTTTTTGCGCTCCACAGTCACCGCCCTGTGCATGGCGTGGACACTATCACGTAGGTCCTTCAGCTTTTTTGCAATTAGTTCAGGCTGACTCGTCATATCTACCACAGCCTTCGTCTCTGAATCGACGCAAAAGTCGAGTGGATTCGGTAATGGTAGAGCACAGAAGAGTTCGATGGGGGCCTTGTTGCCTAACGAAGGCAGGGGTGTGTGGTTGATATTCGCTCGAAGCAGTGGCACTAGATACGTCCAGTCTTTGATGTCCTTTTTATACTCGAGGCACATCACTCTGAGTACTTAATTAACGTCACGGTTGACGCGCTCAATGCTCCCGTTGATCCATGGGCTGTAGACCACAGTGAGCCGCTGTTCGCACTTAAGCCGCTTGCATACCTCGGCCACCACCTCGTTTTTAAAATGGCTGCCTTGGTCGCTGATCCAGATCGGCGGTATTCCGAATCGACTGTGCCAGTCAAGTATCGCCTCGACGGCCACTGCACTAGTAGGACTAGCGCAGGGCACCAGCTCACAGAAATGAGTAGCTTCATCCTTCATCACCTACAAATACTTGTCTGTACCAAACGATTCTCCAACCGAAAGAAAATCCCAGTGTAGGGCGCCGTTCCGCTCGTAGCACCTAAATGTTTCGCTCCAGGGTCGTCTTACCATCTTGCCGCCTTTCATATGATGACAGAGTAGGCAAGTCGAAAGAAATTTGTCCACCCTACTTCTCAGATTATCCACATAGAAATGCCGCTGCAACAGCTCCATCATTGCCGCTCGGCCTCGGTGGCCTTGGGCGCCACAGTGCGCTACCACCATTAGCCGTTGCAGTAGTGCTTCATCTTCCTTCGGTATCCACAGTCGATTATCCCGGTACCAGCCCTCGTCGCCATTGCCCTTGGTAAGGATGTTGGCTGGTACGGTAGCCTTGTGGATGTCTTGCACACGAACTATGTCCGACAGTGTTGTCCATACAACGTATGGGTCGCTTAGCGGCCTAATTGCTGCCGTGGTTCCCAGACTCTCCTTTTTGTTTCCGTTTGCTCTGCGTCTTGGCCGAGTTGCCAGGGTCCTATCCTCCTCCCTTGTCCGACGCTTGTCCTGGGTCTTCGGGGTCCTGTCTTCCTCCCCTCGCCGACGCTTCTGCTGGGTCCTTTCTTCCTCCCTACTGCGCTTACGCAGTACCATAGCTCGTAGTGATACACCATCGTGGTGGTTCCCAGCCCACCTCGAAACCATATCAGCCCAGACATTGCTTGTTCCTTCAATATGCTCGATGTGATAGCGGTAATCCATCAGCTTCACGGCCCAGCGCAACAACTTTCCTCTAATGTGCTTTTTCACCTCTTTTCCAGGCGCGAACACAAAGATTAAGTTTCTATGATCACAAAAGAGTCTGAAACCTTGAGGTCGCAGGAGAAGGTGGCTGAGCTGGTCACAGGCACACACTATCGGAAAGGCCTCCTTTTCAACCACACTCCAATTTTTCTGTGATTTAGTGAATGTTCCACTGACACACACTAACAGTTCGTGTTGCTGTTCTGACACAGGTTTTCCAGCTTGCCAGGACCGTACTTGGGTCACTATGATACCGTAGCCCACGTCGGATGCGTCAGTGATGAGCGTCATCATAGCGTCTGGCTCCGGAAATGTCAGCGTTGCTGAGCTCGCCAATCTCCCTTTCAACTCATTGATTGCACTCACTTGCACGTTGTCTAGTTCTAGACCAACTCCTGTAGCCACTCGCTTCGTACGTCGTGATGCTGATGCTAAAGTCTCATCGAGCTTTTCCTGGAGCGGCTTCGCCACTCTCGCAAAGTCAATCACACTTTCTCGCATCCAATTTGCAGTGCAAAGGAATTGCTGGAGCTCACCAGCATTGGTCGGGTACGGCAAAGCGGTGAGCGCTTTGATTCGCTCTGGGTCGTGGCTTACACCTTGACCGGTGATAATCTTGCCACACCACTTCACTTGAGGTTCGAACAAGCTAGACTTCTTCACACTTAACTTGAAACCAAAGAAATCGAGTAGTTCAAATAGTCTTTCCAGCTTAGACAAGTAAGTCGTCACGTCCACCGCATAAAAAAGGAGGTCATCAATCCAAACGAGTAGATGCTTGTACATCAGTTCTTGGAGGCACTTCTCAATCGTAGCTTGGAAGAAAAGAGCCGCGTCACAACCGCCTTGTGGCACACGTCGCGGTGTGTAGATCTTTCGGTGCGTCATATAGGAAAACATCTCCTGAGAGGCTTCGTCAAGGGCTATCTGCCAATAGCCTTTGATGAAGTCGAATAATCCAAAGAATTTACAGCCGCGTACCAGTTCTAGGTCCACCTGAGGATTTGGCATCACACCGGCAATACTCTCGACTTGTGCATTGAACGGCTTGTAATCAGCTGTCTGTCGGTAGCTATCTGAACCAGGTTTCCGTACTGGCAGGGCAGGGCAGGCCCATCTACTGTTTGGATTCTCGTAAACCCATCCGAGCTCTTCCAGTTTGTCGTTGAACTCCTCCATAAACTGTCGGACCGCGGGTGGATATTTTTGTGCCTTGCACTTGTAAGGTTTTGCATCCTTCTTCAACCGGATCTTCATTGGCGGTACACGGGCAGGCTGGTCATTTTCTAGTAGTAATCTCAAAACGGCTCGCAATTCGTCGCAGCTCACCAAAGAAATCACTCGTGAATACACGAACTTTAGCTTTGTCAACTAGAGCTTTTATTAGTTCTTCTAGTTCCTCACTCAAATCAGGCAAATGGCTTACTTCCGGCTCTTCAAATTCATCACATTCCTCTTGCTGACCATTAGAGGCCAGCATCTCCAGTTCTCTGTCCACGTCAATGCCTAGTATTGCCAGAATATCCTTGCCAAGGATAAATTCCTCTAACTCACCAGGTACAATTAGGCATTGCACCGGGGAACTGATCGAGACCGGCCCGGCTGCAGCTCGCAGGGTGACGTGTACATATACGGCTGGCTTCACTTCGACTCCACCACCAACTGTCACAGAGGGGATTGGCGTCTTCAATTCCACACTCTTAACTTCTGCACACATCCGCTTCAGATCTCCAAACACACGTTCACTCATACACGACACAGTAGCTCCACTATCCGCGCAAAACGGTACACTTAACACACCTTCCAGTAGCACACTGCTTCCTTCAGGTGGCAAGCATTCACGGATGCGATGTAGTCTAGCCGCGTTTTCGTTGCTGGTAACCTGCTTCTTTTCGTGCCTGGTATTCAGCCTTCCTTTTCTCTCGAATTGCGGCTTTATCGGCCTCGGTTGCTGTGGGGCAGTTGATGAATTCATGTTCGCCTTCACAATGAAAGCACTGTTTGGGCCGAGCAGGACGGGAGATCTTGCGCTGGGCACCTTCACCCGGCTGGGTGCTTGCGCTTCGTTTGCTATTGTAGGTAACACCTACGGCAATAACGGACTTCTTGCCGGACGCCTTGGCAAAACTTTTAGTGCTCAATGTTTTTCCAGATTTTGAGATCTTGGCAGTCGTTCTCGCCTCAGCACCTTTTTTCTTATACAGGTCCAATGCCAAGTTGTTCACAATTGCGTACAACTTCCTCACGGAAGCTTTGGCTTCACCACTGCGAAATTCTAGCTCGTTTTTTACTTTCTTCTGCAGCGGACCTGGTAGATGCTTCGTTAAGACCTTGCATTTACGCTTAATTCCGTCTTCACCGAAACAGGTCACGCACACCATTGCGCACGATGATTTCGTTGACAAGATGGAAGTACGTGGTCACACGCCCTTCGATATCGGAGATAGACCAGTCAAACTTCAATTCTTCGCTAAACAGGTCGTCAATATCCGGTAGCTCCCTGTTCTTAAAGCTGTTCGTGATCTCTTTAATCTTCTCCATGAGGTATTCATCCGTCAACTCATTTAAATCGGCGTCCCAACGAGTCTCACAAATCGTCTCCAACAGGAATTCGTCAAACGAATCACGCACAGACTGTAGAACAGCCTTGACATCTTCGTTGGCAGCCTTGCAACGCGCTTCGGTGACAGCGACGTACTCCTTGCGGAGTTTCTGCCACTCCAGCAACGCTTCACGGGACACGTCCTTGATCAGAGGAGCGTTGACTATCGCGAAGATAGGCTGGGGAATGCGTGGTACAGCCAGCGGCACCACCACCGGAATTCCTGCGCTCAACTCGTTGTCGTTTTGCTCTCCATACTGACGAGCAGCACTCTCGTTGGTGTCTTGGTAGCTCGTAGTCATGGTTCTTGTCTTCGTGTTCAGCTGCGACCTTCGCAACTAAAGATATCTTTGTAGTGGGTCTCACACTCGAACACACACTAGGGAAGCTGGCGCTTCCTGTTAACCTTGATCTATTCTTTGTCTTGAGGTAAAACTCAAACTGCTTAAACTTACTACTACGACTTGTCGGTAAGTGACATCACGTCCTTGACTATACCGTACTATACTTAGCTATACCTTACGTCCTAATGCCAGCTTGGCCGCACGTTCTGTGCGGCCCAGTGCAGTGGGCAAGGCTTGGTCTTCAAAGCACCTGCCACTACAAGTCGGTGGGTTTGCACCGGTCCGTAATGTCACGACATCCAAGCTTACGATATGATTTGAGACGAGACGGCTATATTTTGTTTTGCCTTGCGTATTAATAACTACTGTACTTGTACTAGATCAAGTGTACAATCCGATTAGAGACGCAGCACGTTTTTTTCTCTCTTCAAACTTCTTGCTCGCCAAGAATTACTGTGGATGATGCACTGGGGTACTAGAGATGGTGAATTTGTAAACTCCCTCTATCAAAATCTTTGCGAACGAGTAGTTGGTCGCTGTCTAATATAAGATCATTGTGGAATTTTCCTCATTTGAGCCCGAGCTCATATTCCTTTGACGATGCGATGGCTCACTTGGACAATACTCTCTACCCTTATCTTGATTTCAACAACCACTGAAGCGGCCACAGCCATGCCCAATCTCGAAATTGCGACGAAGGATTCGAGGCTCACTGCTACATTTTCTGCCCGAGCACTGTCAACCGAGCTCAATAGCCATGCCAAAAATATTCTTCGGAGCAACACCATCAAGGCAACCACGGAGGAACAAGGCATGCTCGAATTTATTTTGAATATAGCTGTCAATCGCATGTTCAAGTGGCTGTACAATTGGGGAGAGACACCGTTGAGCGTCAGATCAAAGATGATGGGGCGTGATAACTTCCTCGTTGGCGACTTCAGAGTTTGGTGGGAGACGACTCGTGCGACAGGTAGAATGCCCAAATGGAAGTACACCCCACACAGTTGAGACTACAGGTACGCTGTTGACTCTGGACTAAAGTGTCACCATCGTTAACCTCCATTAAAACAATTTCCCTGAGAAACTCCGCAGTACATGTAACAATCACAGCTAGCAATGATTATTAACAGGCGTAGTAGTGGATACTCGTTACTGTGTGGCGCATCGATAGACTGCTCGTATCAAAACATACGACTATAAATCGCGATAATTGATTTAATTAGATCCAGCTAAGCTTGAATAACGGCCTTTACCAAATATTAAACCCGTTCCGAACGGTTTTGTGCAATTGTTTTACAAGAGGTTATCACGGTTGGAAAGTAACTATGTCTGGCCAGCCAATTAAATCAAACCTTCACCCGATAGGGCCAAAGTCGTGCAGAAAGGCACATTGTTTGACGTTATTTCAGCTCATCGGCGAGCAGCTCGCACTGGTAGAATGACAGGAAGCTTGCTCGCAGTATTTTTGCAGCGTCTACAGCTCCTAACTATGATGGAGCTGCTCGATGGTGACGACAGCGAAGCGGACGAGAGAGTGGTGATCACTTCACCTTCACAGCAGATCCTTGCACCGATACTTAGCTGTTATTTCATGTACTGACCGTTGGCTTGCGTAATTCAATTATTATTATTATTACCAACCAAATTAAACCTCCTGGCACGGTTTTCCACCAATCACAGAGAACCTTTACTGGTGGTTCCGTTTCAAGGAAGGTTTAAGCGAAGTTTTGATTGGCCGGTCAAACATACTTTCCAACCGTGATAACCAGCCGCAAAATCTCGCCCACCATCGCAGCGACGAAGTATGGCCCGAATTTGGGCGAGGGCCACCGCAGTAGTGGGGTCCCTGAGAAATTGCAGCTGTGCAGACTCCGCGAAGATGTTCTTGGATTGATTGAAGCTGACCATTTGTCTTGAATCATAATTCCCTTTCAATTTAGATTATTAGAATAAAGATGCACTAACTTATCAATCATAAAATATGTATTATATTTACTTGTTAGATTACTACATTTACAATAAAGGTCTAGTACATACAAAAAAGTGGATTTATTTAATTATAGTAGGGTACTCATCTAATCGCTTACCCACCTGCGCATCTACAGTGTTGTAGCGGCTGCTACAAGTACCGTAAGTTGCTGGGATGGTGCCCAGCAACTCTGGTCGGTGTTTATACCTCGAACGAAGAGGTTGAGTAACCACCGACCAATCCCGCAATTTGCATATTTTTAGTTCTTTTCTAACAACAGAGAAATGAACGCACTTCTACTTTTAGTTTGACGGCGACATCGATCGTACAGTTAGTATCTACACGCATTAAATGCACTAACAAACCGATGGCGCATGTCCGATACAGGAGTTCGTGTTATCTGAGACGATCACGCAGCCATCGCCGCAGATGCCGTACGTGTAGTGGGAAGACCCCTCCTGCAAGCAGCCAACGCCGCAGCTGGCATACGTGTAGGGTCTACAATGTCGAGGCTGTCCTTCTTGAGCTCGAAGGTCGAAGGCAGCGCCACGAGAGCAACAAACTCAAGAGGATGACATGTTCAACGCGCTCAAGAAGCAGGAGAAGAGGTGTGTAGTAACTAAGTGGTTACATCTACGTTTATCGCACTGTGGTTAGCGTTGTGCTGCCTGTTATTGGCCCAGAACTGCCGTGGGGGGGGGGGTGGACTAGAGCGATTCGCACGCAGAACGCGCAGAACAAAGGTAGCCGGGCATCAAACCTACGACAAAAGCTCCAACACATGTCGCTTTCGTACACTGCAATGCAGCGCTGCGAAGCGATCCGTCACGGTCGCGCGAATAGCCATCACGGCGACGCACCTCCGCTCTTCTTGGCCATGCAATGTCTGATGTCATCCCTTCCTGTGCTACTTACTGTACTGCAGTGCGTAAGCGCTCTCCTTTAACAGTACGAATCGGTCACGATTGCTCCACTTGCGGTTCTTAGGGTTAAACTTTGTGTTCTTACCGAACATCACGTGGGACATGAGCGCGCAGCTCCGTCGTGTGTTGTCCGTAGTGGAGATGTAGATGGTCAGGACACGTTATTGGTTTTTGGCATATTTACAAATTTAGATAATAGGAAAATAATGCCATTTGGATTGTCGACCGTAGTTTCCGTAATTTTGGTCGAATCCTTGCGCACAACGTAGGAAAGAGGAGACAACAGTGCCCATGATAACCCAATTCACAATCGTGAGCGACCAATTTTGACAGAACATCACTTATCCTGTGAAGGGGTCACACAGCACCTTGCGCTAGAGGAAGTAAGCTTCCGAGAGATACAAACTCAGTGAACGGCAGCTCACTGGTCCCCATTTACCGAAAGGGAGCGAAGTGACCTATTTAAGGTAGAATGTAAACTGAGTATATTTATAGGTAGATAAAGCTTGGGTTTAATACAAACTATAAACCACCTATAGAAAAGCAATGTCATCAGCCAATGGTTGGCTTTGGACGACCTTAGTACCTTGTACCAAATATCTCGAAGTATGACGTGTCACATTTCATGTAACTAGGGGTATTGTACACTTAGGGCTACGTACCCCGCTACCTCCTCCCCCACTTAGGTTCGGTTTACCGACTAATCAGAATGAAGAAGTGTTCGTCACAAACTTTCATTCTCAAAGTCGAAAAACATCGACTTGGCCGCGCGAGCGCGGCGGAGTCTCACTTCACAGTTAGAGCCTCGAGCAGCAGTCTGTGCGCTCTTCTTCTTGGTCTCCACTTCGACCGTTTATCGTGGCCCGCGGCACTGCAAAGAGTGGTGCGAAGACACGCTTCAAGGCTGCTGCCGGAAAGGCGCCGGCCAAGAGCACTAAGCCTCACGGCAAATGCTCGGCACTTCATGAGGCTACTCGGGTGGCCTCCGAGGCGATCGGTTCATCGGGTGACGCGGCTGTGGGCAAGCAAACAAGCAAGCGCCGCAGCCCGTCGCCCTCGGCCTCTCCAGACAATCGTCCGAACCCTCGGTTTGCTGAGCGTGAGTTCGCCTCTGGCAGTGAGGACGAAGCCGAGTCCGAGAGCACGCACGATGCTCCTGCGGGATCTGCGGGAGGGCACAGCCCAGTGCCCAGCGAGCACAAAAATGCCAGCGTACAGTCGCTCGCTAGTGATCAAGGTGATTACAGCCCCATGACGTCTGCGCGCTCTGAGCGTCCGACCGTCAAGGCTAAGGGCACTCCCAAAGCTGGTAGCGATGAAGAAGAGAAACCTCGCAAACGTCTATCGCTTGGTAAGGGTCTTGCGCGTGCTAAGGCCTCTAAAGTCGAAGGCGCCAAGCCCTCTAAGAAGCGTACGGCTTCTAAGTCTTCACTCCGCGAGGAGAAGAAGACTCGGTACTCCCATGGAGGCCTCTTCGATTCCTCGAATGAAGAGGAAGAGAAGGAGGAGAAAGAGGAAGCGGGTGCTATCTCTGAGCCCCTGGAGATCACGTATGACCTCGACCAGCAGCAGGAGGACCTTCAAGCTGCCCAGCGTGCGCGTGGGGGCTCGGGGGTGGCACCCGTCAGCCAGGGAGATGCCATCAACTCAAGAGGGTGTTGGCCTCCCGAGGAGAGCTCTGGGGCTGACCTCTTCCTGGAGCTTCTCGTTGCTCCTCGTGGCCTTGTTGGCGGCCACACCTCTAGGGGTGTTTACGAGCGTACTCTTATTCAGAAAAAAAGTTGTTTGTTGACAACTTGGAGGCGGCTCGGTGTGTGCTTCTCGCGCCACACCGTGTCCCTCTTAAGGACTTTGCGATTTGTCGCAAGAAGACCGGTCTCTATCCTCTTTGGGGGCACCCCTGGGCTCTGCCCGAGAACTGCCCAGCCTGGAGTGCTTGCGAGGACATGTTCTGGGCTTGAATGAAGTCTCTCAAGTACTCCCCCACGGAGTTACGGGAAGTCCATGAAGATCAGCTGCTGTCCCGCATTCTGGACTAGCGTGATCTTCGTGTTCGGTTTGCCCACTTGGTCAATAAGGGCATGCTGCCAAGGGAAATCTTTAAGCACGCGTCTCTAGCGCTCACGATGAGCGCAGGTACGGCAACGTCCGTACTCCGTTCGGGCAAGAACCCCGGACTACTTATGAAGCTGCCGCCACTTCTGTTCCCAGATAGCGACAGCTTTCGGGCCGTCGATCAGAAGCCGTTCAATTGGCTCCCACGAGTTCTCGGAGTAGGCATAACCCCTCCACTTTACGAGGAGCTGTCGCTTACCGCGACGCCGTTGCTCCTGGAGGATTCGCTCCACGTGGAAGTGGGCTTCTCCATTCCGGTCAAGCAGGGGCGGAGGTGCCCTCGTACGAGTATGAATACTCGGCGCCTCCCGAACGCCACTCTCGTCCGAGTCCTTCTCCTGCGGGTCCGACGCAGGGCCCTGAGGTCGACCGCCTCCGTCAACGTGTCCTCGTGCTTGAGATTGCACTTGGCCTTGGGCCTGGCGGTGATGATGCCACCCGGGTCAGATATCAGGGCGAGCTCGCTCGTCTTGCGGGCCGCCTGGACCTGCTGGAGCGTGAGGTCGCGAATCTGCATCTGCGGATGAACCGACGGGCCACTTCGACCGATCTGTACGAGGCCTATCGCATGACCCGACGGATCGAGGCTCTGTTGCCACGTCCGGAGCCGCCTTCGACGCACTCCCAGACGTACGCGTATGGTGCGTACCCGGCGTACTCAGCGTACTCGGCGTATGCCTCCGGGGTTCGTTCGTACGAAGTCCCTCCTGCGTACGGTCTTGACCGCAGCTTTGCCGTCCAGATCGAGGCTTGGGCGCCTGTTCCGACGCCTTCGTCGACGTCTGTGGCCGGCCCTCGCTTCAAAGAGCTGGGCCAAGGGGGGCTACGAGTCAGCAACCCCTTGTGGATCAAAGTACCGCTTAAGACGTCCAACATAGAACGTCGGGTGCGTCGTCATTGACTTAGGCAGGTCGATGGTGTACAGCGCATGTCTGACCAGGACTGCAAATGGTTCGATGAAGCGGCGCTTCAGCTTGTTGCTGCCGACAGAGCTGACAGTG